TCAAATGGTATACCATAGAGATGTACTCAGTTTTCTCTATTTATTCATTTTTGTGCACATCATATGCATTAGTCTTTCACTTTTGTAAATTGATCAAATCAAGCCATCAAGTTCTCATGACTCGATCCTGCGGTAGACTAGCAACACATAACAAAAAATTCCAGAATGCATTGCTAGATCGGGTAACACGTGTTGTAAGGTCAAGGATCAGTGGTTTCAAAAGAATCTGTATCTGTGTGTGTATCTGTACCCGAGGATGTGGAAAATGTTCATTCACATAAAAAGCAACAACCCAACTGGTGTTATAATATTAGTAAGTGTTTCCATCTCAAATGTAGTGCTGAAAAACAAAATGGTCTCCACCAGCAAACAGGCTAGTGGTCAGAAGCATTTGGTCGACAATGTCTATTATTTGGTCTTGATGACCCTTAGATCGCTATACGGAGAGAATTTGTTGACTTTCTTGACTGTCTATATTTAATTTCGTGGATTCGGAAGAACCACTTCATATGATCCAGTGTACCTCCCTCTTACGACTTTCCTTTGTCCAGGCAAAGAAAGTGTACAATGTTGCTACACTTTACTACACTACGCTGTGGTGTACAACGTTGTGTACACCACAGTGTACACAACGTAAAGATGTATCTTGAGTAAGAGAGAAGAGTCTGATTGGGGAAAAAGGAAGTGGTCTGAGCATATAAGATGAATCTACTCGGTACTCGGTTTGCAAAATGCAGCTCAGGCGACCTAGAAATTAAAAAAATATGTGCGCGCCGACCTTAAGAAAAGACTTACCTAAACCATAAGAAAACATAAAGTTTTACTCATTCCTGCGTCAATCGAAGAAAAATAACGCTATCTGCAAACCTGGGTTTTGATTTGTGAAGAGTCATCTTGAATCTACCGTAATCTTACAGGTGTATAATCAATGGCAGGTAAATTTTTTTTTTTAAATGATATCTAAAAATCCTGGCCTGTAAATACGGATATTTCTGATGGCTTATATTGGAAAACACCCTGTATGATAGATATCAACAATTGAGACTCGTATAACAGCTTCATCCAACTCGTATACATTTTAATTATTGCATTGCTCAAGTTGGTCGAAGTGAACCTGTTTACTCTTTCGTTTATCTATGCTATCCTTTCACAAAGCGACCAAGTAGCAAAAAAATATATCCTAATCAACTGCTTGAAGAGAAAGACATTGAAAACGGATATGGCTCCATCAAAAAATTCCAATAAGATGAGGCTAAACACAAGCCCGACATACTCATCAGCTGTAACAATTGCACAAGATCACAAAGTATAACATATGATCCGTCCTTGAGATTGTTCGTTAGTTTCTTCTCAAATCCTAAGAACAGGTTCTTTTACAAGTTCAAGTGAAAACATCACTTCATCTTCATCTCATTTTCATAGTTGTGACACATATAGATGAGTGTCAAACTGGAAAGATTCCATCTCCATCTCCTTTTCTGCCCACCGCTCGCACTATATAACGCAGATTATTTTGATTTAGATTCCATTTTTTTTCATATATTGTTATGCGAGATAGACTTCACACTAAGAAAGACTCGGAATTTTTTTAAGCTCCTTGGTCTTCAACTCATTGACGTCAGTTGTATATAAAATTGAAAAAGTCTCGAATTCGATACTTGTATTTAGTTTTTTTGAACCCAAAGGTGCATATACCACAGGGTCAGTATAAACGGATCTATCGTATGCAACTTCAACAACTCAAGCAAGTCAGTTCAACAATCTACCAAAAGAGTATTTCGTTCAGATTCTGGTGTTCGCTTTGCTTCGATTTCCTAGAAGCCGTTGCTAGTTCAGCCCAAAGGTCGAAGGTGGTCTTTCCTGCAGAACGAAGGCCATAATGTCTACCTGGGTAATTGGCAGTCATCCATATAGGAGCTTACGTAAGTAATGCTGAGGCAACATAAGCACATGGAACATCAGGAAAGGCTTGAAGCAAAAGAAGGAATTCTCTTGCAGTAAAACATCAGACAAAACTGTCCATTGAAACTGCGAGTAAATTGACATGAGAACTTATTGAACTTTTCTTCAACTTACTTAGAAGATGCATGTATGATCTTCACAGTGCAGCAGAAGACCTCAAATGTAAACAGGCTGTTAATTTGTTCTTTGTATTGTTCTTGGTTCATGCAATTGATTAAGACCAGGTCACATTGTGTCTCGGCCACTGTAGATACAGTACACAATCCGAACTTCTCTTAAAGTACACTTCAGTCCGGTGTATTCCTCACTGAGAAACTTCCACATGGATGAAATGCAAACAACAGTCGTAACGAAGAGATAAAACGAGAAGCAAAACTCATGAGATGGGAGCAGGTGTCTTCGTGTTGCTACAAAGTTTAGTCCGGCATAGGACACAGCTTTAAACTCGCCTATATTCTACCGAAGATAATAAAACAGCAAAAATCCTGCTTGATATCCAGTCAGCAGTGTTTTTCATATTTCCGGGCAGTTCTACTCTACTACACACCTCGAATGGCGGTGTGATGAAACTCTTCTCGACCGATATAAGCTTACAGATTTAGGTTGCTGGAAGAAATATCAATATATTCTGAATTATCAAACTTGATTTCCTAAACGGTCAGGAGAAACTGGACGTCTGAACAAGTTCTTGTCGATGATCTCCGTCGTTTACATCTCCACGTTTGCATTCCCGGGTAAAACAGTAAATACAAATTGATGTAGAACCACGTTACGTCTATAAGGAGTTATGCCGAAAGAGAATATCGGGCTAGATCCTTGTCCTAGTCTATGATCAGATCTGAAACACGTTAAATTTATCAGGCCAAGTCCATCGTTTGGACTGTCAACTGGACCCAGCTTGATTAGGCAATTCCGACGCAGGGATCTGTAAAAGTTGGTAGTAGTTGTATGATCAAGCTAGGAAGTAATGGTCTCCTTTCCTGCCGTTCATGATCTGAACCATTGCAAGTTTTCCAGTAGAGCGAAATTCCTTCACGAGGCGTATTGAATCATAACTCCATCAGATATTGTTAACGTAGCTCCAGTTTTGACGTTCGATAACAACCGGTTTTGTCATCAGATTCTTCGAGGCTGAAACTCGTGCGCTTCACTGTGTATATGTGAAGCGCCTATACTTGTACGCAGAATTAAAACTGTGCTGTTGATTCATTTTTGAATCTCAGGATGAATTAGGCACAGTGTACTCGTCTATTAGAAATAATGAAATTCCTGGCATGGATAAATACACGCCTACATTACTTTGCACGTTGGTAACCTGGCAAAGAGTGCTGACGACGCTGATATACCCTCGTGCACGGTTCCCTGTCTACCACACCGACCTGCAAGGACCTCCTGATTTCTAGTTATGCTGTACGCATAGCGTACAGCATAATTAGAAGGAACTTTGTTGACGGTGATTATTAAATCTTTCAATCTTGAGTAAGACTTTAGCAGAAAAGACATAAATTAATGAAAGATTGTGCAAGGAAAGATGAACATCCTGACACGTTTTGCAATTTGACTGGCAATCAGAGATGTGGATGATACCTTGGATCAAAGAAGTATTTCCTAAGATGCTATTACCGAGAGAAGTGCATGTGTACAGTTGTCTGTGCGTCTGGGAGATTCCGTTTTGATGTGTGTAACTCCGGTCTTACCTCATAAGCTAGAGAATTGTGCGCTGGACCAAGCAACTGTCTTTGGTCAGGGTCATGTACACATCACAAATCCCCTAACATCGTTTTCAGTTCGCACTTCACACACAAACCAAAGAGGTAGTACGTTCGAAGGTATTCATACGAGCTACAGTCTAAATCCGTGCATCTGCACCTTGTTGCTATCGATCTTGTGTTGTGCACTGGTCTTTGATGTCAGCTTTACGCAGGTTGAGTGGGTATGTTTACAATTACTTGGTCTTGTCGATATCACCGTCAAGAGACGTGATTATCTTTCCAGAGTCCACATTCTTCTTCCAAATTCCAAACTCTGGATGTGTAAACATTAAATATTCCCAATGAGATATCAACAGTCGGAGAACTGGCGTGCAGCAACTCGAACAGCCTGCCTGAAACTAGCCAGTTTGATTCCGGGGGCTGAAAGATTTACAGTGAAGACACTGTCATGCAATAAAGGCGACCTCCTTGTTGACAAGTGGCTGCATCCGGGCTAGGTAGTCAGATTAACCGTCGAGTGCCATTGCGTTGACAAGGAAAGTACTTGGTAAAGACATACCCGCCTCCGTTTGTAGACCTTTATCCTGCAGACAACGCGTACCGGAACTACGTACACAACTTATAAAAGAGCGGTATATGAGACTTCAGAACATTCATGGTCTTTGAATGCACGTCACTCAGGCTTACAAATGCCTCCGGCGGTCCTCAATGGAACCCTTTCCCCAAGCCCAGTTTCCATGCCCAGAAAGCATCCTTCAAGGACTGGACCACCCGCGATACCAGGTGAGCACTGAGATTTCTGTACTGAAAGAGGAAGATCGAGACCGACAAAACGTGGTGCGTTTTGGAGCAGTGGTACGGTAAGGACTGTTCATAAGTCAGGCAGTCGCAGGGAATGAGGTGGAGCGAACTGCATATGGTGCCTACAGCATAGGCCATCAATCGACTTGCAAATCTGCCACCTAGAGTGGCGTAAGCCGCCAGAGGCTACCACAGCGTGCTTGAAAGAACCAGAATCTGTCAGTCCAATAGGATACTGTTGTTGATGGGTTTGAGCGACGAAACGACTGATTTCTAAAGTTGGAGTAACTTGTTTGCGCATCTACGTTTCTGTGTAGGCTGCTCAAGTGGATCTTGGGTTCATGCTTTCCTTGTGTCTTTCCTCAACCCTCACAGGGAGTAGTGCAGCACACACATGGACTCGTCGCCCTCTGAGACATTGTGAGATCCTGAAGAAGTCATGTTCATGGTGACAAATTCAACCTTCGCATTTCTAACTGGGAACACTTCTTTAGGCACTTACCAAAGTTAGCTTCATTTTCCCCAACACTTCGTAGATTCAGTTGATGTCCTTGTTCAGTTGATCATATCCCATGGTGGGCTGAAGCTCTCTTGAGCTTATCTGTCCTTCAGGAAAGCTATGGAACACTGCCTATCTATCATCAGCCTTCACTACTTATTTCCTCCACGCTTTACGTTTAACACTTAGTAAAATAATGACACTGACACACTTAAACAAGAAAACGTGTATAACACAAATGGGGAGGAACCTCGCCACATTCCTTCGATCCGAACGTACCGAACGACAGCTCCCTGATGTACTTCACATCGTACAGCTTTCAATGTTAGAGGTCACTCTTGTTCCTTCGTTACAAGCACTCATGAAAGAGAGAATCGACTGGTTATTTTTTCTGCCGTGCTTGGAAACAAATGTGGCTTTTTGATCATCACTCGAGCAAGTGCTCTGAGCAATCCATAAGGGTACTCACCGGAGTACCTGTCGTTTTCGTGCTTCACTCGATCATTTGGAATGCTCCAGTATATAGTTTGATTGATCAGTTACGATACCTACGTTCCATTCTCCATATTTGAATTGTGATGCTCCCATCTAACCCCATCCTGCACCCAGGTTTCGTCCCAGCACGACGTGATGGGGAGGACCGCCACCCTATTTGCTGTATTACTCGGTTCCTTCCTTGTCATGATAGAAAGACAAATTAAGGTATAACGTTTCATCGTGAGTTACTCAATGCACCAGAGATGAACTAAGTCTCCAGATTCAATTTTACAGGCTCCATCGAAATTCCTCGCACTTCATTTTATTGCACATAGTGGGTTACAATGGTAACGCTTACGCTGATTCACAGATATTGGAGTTGAATAAAATGTCTTTGAAACGGCTGTGTTAAAAAACCGGACGCTAGTGTCGCTAGCTCAGGTAAGAATTAAGAGACTCCTCAAACAACTCCACCTCCGCAAGTAAGCAGTCTTCCCTTAGAACAGCTATTTCGACCCTGTCTAATCTTGATACCAAGAATTCAACTTCAATCTGATGTTTGATCTAAGACAGAAGGAAAGTTGCAGCCTTTTACTAGATCTTTCTTTCTGATCACTAGACTGAAATCCTCAATTCTAATTTTTTTTAAAAATAACAGCTGACTTTATGACAAGCATGTATTAACTCGGGCTAGGAAAAAATAGTTCCGACCGTGAGACTTAGACGTGTTAGTTCAAGATATAGAAGCACTCCCTCCATTCAGAATACTACGCCTGCGGAAGAGAGACCATGTGCGAATGGCTTGAATGCAACACGGCTCCTGACTCTGCATGGTGCAGGTTGTGGTCACAAGCTGGCACTAAAGGTTCCTGACAGTCGGAACGTATCGCCAAGGAATTGCAGATGAATATTTTTCAAACCTAGGGAGTTCAGGTGGAAATTTTGTCTGCAAAGGATTAACCTGAAATGCGACTGATGGGATTTGATAATTCATGTCTAGAGGAGTAAAGATATTCGATGACACGTCAAGGTCCAGGTTTGAACTCTGAGAGAATCGAATCCACAAATTACAGGTTGTACCTCAACTTCAAGTTGCAGACTTGACAAGTTAGATCCGATAAGAGTGCCGTCGAGCCAGATTCGTCTGCGACAACCAATTGAGCACGTTCAGATCTATCTCAGCAATTCGACTTCCGTCACGAGATTCAATGCTGGACACATAGTTTTATCATGTCTCCAGTAGCAGTGAGGTCAATGTATTCTTTCTATGTGTAAGTTGCACGTAATTCGTCGTATATTCTTCTTCATCACGGATAAAATGATCTGAATAATGAAGTAGAATTCACCCTTTGCGTGTACTTCAGAGACGAGATCACCTGAAAATTGCAAAAAACAGCAGAAGCGTTTTTGAAGTTACGAATCATCGAACCTGGACAGAGATATCATTCCAGAGCAAGAAAGCGAACATTTCAGTTGTCTTACCTCGTTATACATGCTTCCCGTCTAACTTTCATGCCAGGTAGTGATCCGTTCTTCCTATGAGTGAAGGCAGCCCTTGTGCCTGAGTTTATCAAGGTTCATTCTGAAGAGGAGGTACAGTATATCGACTCTACTATATCGTTTCATCAGTTACGCAAGTTCATCGTTACAGTTCGTCATGAAGCGGTTGTCGAATTCAATGATCTCCGTCTCTACAAAAACAGGCTACAGAAACCTTGGAAGTGTTGACTAGATGAACCTACAAAACCTGTCAGTAATAACATCGATCCTCAATCACACGTTGACCCACAAAATCGATAGTGCATCCCAGTCACTCCAGAGTCGTGCATAATTGTAGAGACGAAGACAGACAGACAGCCATCCGAATATCATCCGTTCGGTGCGCGCGCATCCCAAGGCCCACCGAGACATGGTTCCTGCCGATAGACCACTCAACATTAAAGTCTACGTGAGTAAGTGCTATAATCTTTTTGTTCCGTCTGACTTACCACTCAATTGACTTTGCTGCCTTTGAACTGCTACTTTTTTAAGTCAAGACGTACCTGTGCAAGGTATGCAGCATTCCGACATAACTCGTCATGCTTACGAAGAGGAGGTACTAACAAGGAGTATAATTATCGCTGCAGTATGTGATAAACTCCGAAATGGCGTTGACGAAAGATCGAGCAATCCCCACAATCCGAGCAAAAGTTCCACTCCGCTGTCCAGTGCCCTTGATTTGATCGTTCTCCAGCATTTAAGAGCATAATCTTCCTGATGCTCTCCTGTAGAAGAGAAAAGTCAATAACCGAATGAAACTTGACAAGATACGTAACTACGGAGAGGGATATCACGCATTCCACCTGATGAGACTGCTCTTCTTCAGAATAACAAACTCTGACAGATACTGGAAAGGAGTGGATGCATGGGAGCTACAGATCCCGAATGCTTATCAGGAAAGGCGGGGCATCAGGTTTCACGTTTTTATTCTGTTGCTGGTCTCTCCCACATCTCGCTTCGGCAGCTCCCAGTACAAAAATTGTCTCCTCAGCCTCTGACGAGTTGAGGTCGTCTTAAACAGGTATCGACTGAATATACTCAAAAATGCTGCCCATAAAGTTTGTGCTCCAATACATCCTCCGTTATCCTCGCATAGTACCTTCCGAGCTGCAACAGAGAACGATCATCGTGAGATATATGATCTGATGTACAGTAGTTGGTCGTGGACTGCGCATCCCACGACTACAGCAGTAATGCACTTAACTGTAACGTAATTATCTGTTATAATCTAGTGATGTCATTTAATGATGGCTGCTGTGGGCAGCCTGGACAAAGCGTTGACTAGGGTTTTGCAATCAAGAGGGATGACTCGGATCTGGATGTTGCTGAATGAGAGATACTGGCCGATGACGAATCGAGGGTAGTCTGTAGACCATGCTGAACATGCTCGACTCGCCTCCCGCAACTAGTCGCAGTTTCGGCCTTTAAACTGGTGATAAGAACTCAGATGTCCTAAACTGTTCTCAACATTGCCGCGATCGATCGCAACAAGTCTCACCCATTCACTAGCGGAAGCATGTATTCGAGAAAAACGAGAAAGGTTCGTAATCCCTTCTTTCTTCAAGAGCAGATCTTCAGTGTGAGTCTTTGAGGTGGCGGATTTGAAGGGACTCACCTGCCGTTAAGCTAGTACTTCACTCATTTCCTGGATTACCGTAAACATCATCTTGTACCTCGTACGCTAGGCTCGTTTCCAGAAACCCTTCGATATATCTCGAGTCATCTGCGCATGGCCGGATAATATACCTCTCTGCTGGACTTCATTCAGCTTCAGGTCGTGTCTCTTTGCTCTCACTAGAAATCGGTAACATGTGCTTCTCTTCGAGTGTACAGTTCAATGTGGAGCGCTATTGAACCTCAGACAAAATGTTTCTGCAGTTTGTCCTTTGCTTCAGACTGAAGCGCATTTCGTATTATCGCCGACGTTGGTCTCTTCAACTGCCCTACTCTTGGCTTCCAAATCAAGAGAAACGCTCAACTCTTTAAACCTGTTGATGCCATATGCTCATGATTTGTCTGCGAGCCAGAAGGCTTTGCAGGGACATAATGCCGAGTTTCTTCACAATTAAGCAAACTTTGAGTATGAATAATGATTAATATTGCTTCTTCTTTCATCTTCCTCCCCTACAGCCTGAGCACCACGCAACTGAGGGATTGTCAAAAGAGAAATGTTTTCAGTATTGCTTCAGCCTCCGATAGAGAGCTTCTTCATATGCCCGAGAACGTCATATTCCTCGAAACCATGTCCACCTTAAGCGCAGAAGAAGAACATCGGTCCATACCAGTTACAACAGCTTCAGTCGGTGAGGTCTGGACTCGGAAAAAACTCACGATCATAAGCTCCGATCATCCTGTCTCCTTTGGACAGCTAGAGGTCTACCGACGTGTACTTTTACTTACAAGCCTGCCTCGGCCTGGAGTGGAGAACACGATTGGATCTTAGATCAAATTGGGTCTTCCATCATCTTATGTCAAAGGTTCAAAGTCTGGTACGCTCGTCCGGGAATCTGTGATAGAGTAAGGATCACCATCTCGCTTTACAGATTTGATATCTCTGATCATCCGCTTTCAACTTGGTGCCAATTCACGTCTAGTTTTGGGACTCTGCTCGACATTCACTCGATTCCAATAAACTAAAGATAGTGCAAATGAAGGTTGTAAGGCACTGGAGCATTCACATAGAACCACTTAGAAGCAGAGCTGAACTGTTATATTTCCTGAGTGTAATAATAAGTCCTTACGACCCATAGAGGGCAACTCAGTCGCTCAGTCATAATGATGCTGAGAAGAAAATGGCCTAAGCAAGTTACGAACTGAATCTCCCTCGTGCAAGGACGCGTATCTGCCATGCTGACCTCCTGCTCCTCGAGATATCTGCGCAACAACCACTCTCCGCTGTGAGTACCGAGTCTGAATCGACAAGTACGAGACATACTAACTATGTAAGAAAGTTATAAACTCACTGTCGGTCGTCGGACTAACACACCTCGGAAATCAGAACGATTGGTGAAACGTCAAATGATTTCAGAAGCTAACAGAACCTTGCAAGGGCCCAACATTTGAACCCTCTCTGAAGAAAGGAAAACCACACACGAAAGACAGTCCTCACTTCTGCACTGTGCGTCTCTTTCGATTTTTTTTATCGCTTTGATAAATGCCAAGTTCGTAGTCTGTTGTGGCCCCACTTCACCCAAAGAGGTGGCTACTACATGGGACAAATACTTTCTGCGACATTTAGTTGGTGTATGAAAAGAGACACATTCCATTGTGTTCTTCGGTGTCTCATTGTTTGTGGTAATGTTCGTAAAACTAGCAAGCGCAAGATGTGAAATGTTAGAAACTGTGCACTTCCTCATTTTTCAATTTTCATCTTGATCTTCCAAGTTTACTCTTGTATCTATTTGAGCTTTCATGTTACTTGCCTCGAGAATGTAGGAAGAAGATTGGAGTGAAGAGCATGGTGGTCCTGATCTTGGATTATAGTTCATCTGGAAATATTGCTATTGTAATCACCTATTTTTTGAATTGAAATATTGATTCGAGATATAAGAATATGGATTCCGAAAGCCGGTCCTGGTTCATTGATTGTTGTGTTCGAAATCATTAGTATCATAGAATATTCTTCGATTTAAAATTTGTTGTGTCATAGAATATGTAAAGTATCTCCCCCCAATTCTCGAACAATATTGCAAAATTTTCACATGAAAATAAAGATATTATAATCTTGCAGAATTTATAACAAGATGTAGGAAATTGAGAAATAATAAATTATTGCATACTTGGATTACACAAAATAAAACATACAGTATTTTTGCTTCATAAGACTATTTCTTATGAAGCAAAAATACTTTATGATTTATTTTTACATAAAATGGATTCACTAGATTCCTTGGATTAATATGCTTTAGTTGTATACCATACTTTTATTTTTCATGTGATTAATGCACCTCCATTCAGTCTAATTGCGTGCAACACTGTTTTATACTTTGTGATGTGTTATTGTTTATGTGTGCTAACTATGATGATGTTGAGTTTAAAGTGGGAAAAAGAATACATACTATATCTGATCGTGTATTTTTATGTTATTCTATACTCTTCCCAAGAAAAAATTGCAATCATGCAAACAATGTTAAGTGCATACATGGTGCATATGTTAGATTATAACACATCCTATATCAAGTTATGTTGCAATTTTGATTTTCAGATAAATAAACAGATGTTCAAATGTTGAATATTAGTATCAGCAATAATATGTATGTATGTATGTATGTATATATATATATATATATACATACATACAAACGAAGGCGCTACTAAGCTTTCTTTTTGCACATAAATAATAAGATTAAGAAGTATCTTACATATCTTTGGATAAATAAATTTGAACATTTTCGTGAAAAAATTACTTCAAAACAAAAATTACATCATTTTTATTAAGAACGTGCATATAATATGTTTTGATAGTGTAAAAGGCTATCAATCTTAACGTCATTGATTCATAAACTGATGAAAAATAATCAATTATTCTTATTTGAATAAATAGAGTTATAATCATAAAAATTAGAATTCAAACTAAAGAATACTTGTGTAATATGTACAACACAATATTTGATGAAGCAAGTTGATAATTTCAAAATAAAATTTTCTTTTTTAATATTTTCATAGAGGTAAAATTGTGATTATGTTTTGTGCTATTTGTTTAATTAGGTGAAAAAAAGTAATAAAGATCATCAAGCTAGTTGAGTAGCTTAACTGGTGGAAGATTGAGGAGTAAATCTAAATGCATGTATTTAATTTATTAATTTAATATTGGAAAATTCTTAAATGGAGATTTAGAGACACATAAGATTTTGTATGAAATATAAAATTGAAACAAAAATTGTTGAGGTTAGCTTCACTTAAGGAGTAACATTGGTTACTAGCTATTTATAGCTAAAATGGTCGTATTGACCGGGGATAAATATCTTGGGGCTCAAATTGTACATGATGTCTTTCTAACCAGACCTGAAATAAAGTGTTGAGAGTTCTGGGTGGACGTAGCCCTCTTCCCCGAGGTTGAACCACGTTAAAAAAACTCTACGTTTAAAACCCGAGAGATATCTAGCAACACAGAAATAACGTGGTGCATCTTCATGGAAGAGGGATGCGTCCACCCAAAACTCTTAGCACTTTATTCCATGTCTTGTTAGAAAGACGTCATGTACAAGATGAGCTCCGAGGTATTTATCCCCAGTCAAGACAACCGTCCTAGATATAAATAACTAGGAACCAAGGTTACTCCTTAATTGGAGTTAACCTCAACAAAAGTTAATCTTTAGAATCTAAAATTCTAAAAATATATAAGCTTTGTAAATATCTTTTATATTGCTAAAGCACAGACCTTAATATGCACATAAATGTATTGATACATGAGTTTATTATCTTCATTTAATTTTATTATATTACCACTTGTAAATACATACATAAATAAATAAATGAAGGTTAAAGATGAAGATCATTAATGAACATGCAAGATAATTTTAATAATTTTAATTTAATAATATAAGTTGCACATCAAAATCACTATTGTATTTTTGAAATAATGTTGACATGTCTTACTCACACAAGGATTAATCATCATCAATGTTAAAAAAATTTTCTTCTACACAATTCCATTCATGTATAGCAAATTTTTGATGCACAGAGATAAAGAATAGTCAAATAAACTACTTCATCATGCTTTTGATATTTTTCATAAAACAATGTATATGTTATTTTATTTAGATCTCACAAATAAATAATTTTATTTTATTAAATTTTTTCCCTATACATTTATTCAGATATAAAACTTTAATTGAACAAACCTTTTTAGTATATATATTTTTAATTTTTCATGTATACATATCAAAAATCACGTGGAATTAGATGAGATTACAAATATTTTGATTTCTTGTATAAAAATTTATGCAATAAACTCAGAATTTTTTATTAATAATAATTAAATTTTGTTGATAAGAAATTTTATTTTTTGATTTTCAATGATATTGTAGTTCAACATTGAATCGTACATTCAAAAGTTTCATTTTTGAAAAAAAAAGTTCATGGACATGCACACATGATCAAATATGTACATATACATTAATAAAATGTTGATGAAAATTTAAATATAATGATTTATTTCATCAATAAAATTTTATAAGCATTAATAATGAAATTTATTAAGCAATCTATTCATAAATTGAATCAAAAATTTTGCTTCAAGTCTTTGAATAAATCATAGTGCTTTTCTTTATATATATGATAGAAAAATTATTTTCAAAAGGATTTAAACTTTTGTTCGGTTGCAACAAATTTATACGATCTTGAAACATAATTTCAACAAAAGTAATAATTAATAAAAAAACTTTGTCAATTTTTTTGTTAAATATATAAAAATATAAAAAATATATTTTTAAAATGTTTGATTTAAGCAAATTATTGCATATACTATATTTTTATATGCTGAATAAAATTTTTATATTCTGATATGTATAATAAAATTGAGAGAATGGTTAATAAAAAATCTTGTAAAAAAAATTAGAAAGATTTAAAAATGTATCAATTTTATGTCAAACGTTACATGTTAAATCATGATAAAGATTTTTTACATGAATTGTGAAGCTTTTATTGGTAAAATAAAATCAAAACTGCTATGTAAAATACCAGAAAAAATACTACGTAACCTTCTGATGATTAAAGCAATGAAGCATGCTAAAATGTCTGAAACCCATATGTTTTAAATTATACTTTTACTTGTTGAAGTAACAAAATTAAAAATTAGCAAAATTTATTTTTTTGTTATTATTGATCAAAATGATTTATTTCAATCAGCAATTATATCTTATGTATGATGTTTTTGACATTATTGTATAATAATCGTGTGCGTATGATGTTGATCAAACTACAAATATTTTTAAACATCATCTACATAATTTCTAGCAAAAAAATTTCCTTGAAGATCAATTGATTTTGTATTCAAAGATTGTGTACATTTTATTTAAGTATTTTTTTCATAGAGTTTTATATGAATTCAACTAAATTTCAGATATAAATGTGAAAATATTAATTTTTGCATTAAAAGAAGACTTTCATACTGTCCAAAATTTTACAATATTTTTCATCATCTTTTGGATCTTTATCTTACAAATTCATCAACCTTAATCTAAGCTTTTTTTATACATAAAAAATCCTAATATTTTCATATCAATATCTCAAGCAAAAAAAAGAATTACAAGTGCCTTAGTTCTAGTTATAGAAACAAATGATTATCAAAATGAAAAAAACTTTGCATAGTTTTAATGTCATTTTAATGTTATAAAATTGATTAGATATCAATCTATGTGTAATTTTTAATTTGGTAAAAAAAACACAACTCAAATTTAACATCTGAGTTGCATCTCAATTTTTATTGTACAGTTTTATGAAAAATCATATTTTTTTAAGGCAGTAAATATTTAAATTATTAATTTAATCACAAATATCAAAAACTGAAGTCAGATTGTGATGAGTTTTTTTCTAATATAGCTATTTATGTTGCATAGAACATGAGTGGAAGGTGGAGAGAGCTAGAATTGAACATTTTTCATTTCAAACTTTATTATCATTTATTGTTTAAATAATAATATTAAAAAAATAAAAATATATTTAGATGCATACAAATCAACTTAATATGGATTAGAGTCTATTCTAGACATATATTTAGCTATCTAGCATTTTTTAATAGCCTATTACTATTATCACCTTGTTAAATTTTTTGGCTATGGTTATACATAGAAACATTGACATTGTCTCATTTGTAACGTAAGAGATGTCATTTTTGAATAGTAGTTGCAGCCTCGCACTTCAATCTAACATTCTACTCATGACCAAATGTAACACAGAAGCGACATAAAAACCTGATCACTTTTGATGATGATTCAAGATCAAGATGCGAAACTTTATGATCATAACATAAGTTATTGTCCGTAACATGTTATTGTTGGCCTGATAAGGCCTGGAAATTACTAAAATTAATTCAAATGGATTTTACTTGTTTTATATTTGATAATTTTGAGATATATTAAAAATCAGAGTACATATCGATCGATATGACGATATAGAGTACCCAAAATCGATCCCGTTCTGAATCTAATCTAAAAGAGATGTATGAGAAAATGATTTCTATTTTGCAGCTGTATTGCTGAATGTACTTGACCTTCTCATTCATTCTTCTCCAAGACAATTGTACAATATCTTAGTGAATATTTTTTCTTCTTTTTGATAGAGCTTGATATTCTATCTATGCATTTGTATGTTGTACTTGATAATAAGTTTAGTACACTTCTCCCTCTAGTAGCTTTTTGCCATGGTGAAAACATAATAAACATTCTCCAAAGTAACATTTTTTGTCGTATTTATTTGAGTGATCTACAATTTCAATTCGTGTCTTGATTAAAAAAGAGTTAGTCTTTTCAATATTTTTATAGCAACAATCTTCAGTAAAAGAGCTTGATACCGTGGACATCATGATAATTGAAATCACAACATCTCTTTTTGATGGAAAACATGTCACAAGAAGCAGGAGTAGCAGTGCGTGAAAGTACGGGACGGTGCAGATAAAGACGAATATGTTCGCTTCTTTGGCAAATTCGATGGTGTGTTCCACTAACGGCAAAGTCAAATTTGTCTTGGATCCAACAAGTATTAAAAAAATAGTTTCATTTATGGATGCCACAAGATTTATTATTGGTTAATTTTGGAATTTTGTAGACAAATCGTAGACTTCAGTACTACTGCGTCATTGTACTTAACATACCAGGATGAAAGTTGGTGAACGATATAGGGAAGATACAAGTGTGATTAGGTGAGATGAATTTTCCAAGACAAACAAGAGAGAGTGTGTTATACTTCGTTCATATATATATATGAACGATTATAACACATTCATTGTTTCATATTTTTTTAACAAAAATTTTACAACATATAATAATTAATACATGTATGGAGATAAACATGAATATATGAGTTGTACTATGTATCCACTAAGACTAATAGGCTACTTTATACTGCTGTTTATATTGAAGCACGATGATGAGGCTTCTTACCTTGTCAACATTAGTTATTGCAAGAATGTTGGGACGTGTTTAGGAATAATAAACTGAAATTTTCAATTTCCATTGTTTGTGCTTTGGCGGTTTTATAAGTCACAACGCATTGGAACGTGCAAGAGTGTCCAATGAAGGAAAAGCGCAAATTTGTTGTGTTGCTCTCAAAGTCGAATGTGGACGAGGTTGACAAATCATCATGGGAGGGACGAAAGAGTTTAGTTAGGTACATGCGAAATTTCAGCACCTGAAATAAATACCAGATCTGCGATCGACGTCAGAAAAGGACAAGGATTTCCAGCGATTTCCATCAACCCTCCGCGGAATCATACAGTTGATCGAGCATATCGAGCTATAGAATTAGAGACGAGCATATTTTCCACGAAAGATATATACCGGAACTTTTAAGATCCAAGCGAATCAGCTGCTGCGACGTGGAAGTTGGAACCGAAGCCAGAGTAAGCAAGTCCAGGCAACGGGAGGCTGGGAGAGAGAGCCAGAGGAGCAGGAGCAGAGATTCAGGAGCAGGGCAGGGCAGGGGCCGCTGAGCAGGCAACTGAGTGAGAGAGAGAGAGAGAGCTCGAGTCGCAGGTCGAACCAAGCGGACCGACCGCCTTCGTCGCACGTCACGGGCACGGTCACGAGCGCTCTCTTTTCCATTCCCACGTTTCAAGAAGCCGCCTACTTCTCTGGAGGTGGCGTGAGTACTGCAATTGCCGCCGAGGGGCGCCCGAGCGCAATGATCTTCCTCGTCGATTTGGAATTCAAGAATCGTGATTTTGCCGGTGATCTGTGCTCGAACGGTCTTTGAGGCTCCGAAGAAAGATTTTTCAACGGAGCGATTTTTGAACCTCGCTAGGATTGTGCGCTTTTGCTAGACGGTAAATTTCTTGTTAAATACGTCATTCAGGAGGGAAATTGGTTCCTTGATGACTTGGTTTTGTCATCCTCCTTTTCGATTCGCTTCAGCTGCCTCCTTTCTATGTGCAGCGTCGGTGCCTGCTGCAGAAATCTCTGGGATTTGATCTGGTGCAGTTTGTTATGCCGAATTCCGATAATTGTACGCTTGGTGAGTGAAGCATTTGATGTCGCAGTTTTTAAATCGTGCAGAAAAAAATCGAAGCTTGCGTCTGTGTTGTGAGCATGGCCTGGAATAAAATACACAGAAATTCCAATGTTGTTTTCTACCGGCGCCGCGTCTTGTAGATTCCTTCCTTTGAGGAAAATTGCGTTAGAAAAGTGAACTTTTGTATTCCTACTGGCCAGAGCCTTTGAGCATTGTCTCGTTTACGCTAGTCTGTGGAACGTGGATTTGTAGATGTTAATATCGCTTCATCATGGGTGTGTTGTGCATTGTGCAAGTATTTCATTGAAGAGGATTCTGTCACCTGTATATTTCTTGGCGAAGTTGGGAGCCGTTTAGGCTCCTTCTGCTGAAACTCTTAGGCTGTTTACTCCCACAATTGTCTCGTTTGTGCCTGCGATCCTCGAAGCTTTGTGTTCGTCCTTTTCATAGCCGCCTGTTAAAACAATTCTAGGCCAGAATCGAGCGAAGATTTCAACTAGAAGTCACTAACATAATGGGACTGATGCATGACGATCGTATATTGTGAAAATTCGACCTGAATGCTGAGTGTGTTTTAGGGAACAAATTATGAATGTCGAACTCAGGTTTCAATACGTGTGTTGATGATCAGCTTTGTCCTATGACGCTCATGAGGGATTGGTAACATTGCTAGTTTTCTTCAAAGTCAGTAGGAAGTAGTTGGCTATCGTTTCGTAAGAAATACCTTCCAGAGAGAACGCAGCTCGAGTTTGGATTATGCGGAAATAAGTGCATATGAGGACATTCTGGGTCTTAGTAGAACAGGCTTTTTTTCAGGCGACAGTGTACGTGACTTCAGTGTGACTGCGAGTACAGGAGTCCGTGTGCAATGGCACTCAAGTTACTTAAACCATACACAAAAGAAATCCCAATGTTTTTTTAGATGCGACAACTCTGCGAATTGGATTCAGTCTCGACGCATACTTGTTTTTGGAATGTGTGCGTAGTCTGTAGTCAGTAGACGGCACAGTAAGCGATGTAGGTCGGGTCGTTGATTCATTGACTGAATCCTTGAGCTTTTGATTTTTCGAATCAATGTCTAACTTATTTGTTTGAGGCCACTCCTACAGGCTAAATTGTGCCCATTCGGGGCTGCCTTTGGAAGACACCAGAAATTTTGAAATAATGACGGAGTCTTCAATTTCTGCATCGGAGTTGGAGGGGAGGGAAGAGGTGCGAAATGGATCCGAGCTGGAGGCATCTTTACAAAGAAGGAACATGGAACTCGAAGCTGAGAACATGGAGTTGCGTGAGCAATTGGCACAGGTTAATATTCTTACCGATGTGATGAAATGTGTAGCATTGATGCATTTGTACTGCATGTTCTGCCTATTACATGTCAACCTGGAGCCCTTCTTTGATACGAATCTCATGACTTTTCAGAGTCGAGGCCCTGTTATCAAGTGTGGTTATCTTTACAAGCACAGGCCGTATTCACGATACTTTTCCAAACCATGGGAGTTGCGGTTTTTCAGGTAGGTTCGGCAGCTTCATGAGTAAATAATGTTTTGTGTATATGACCTGTAATCTTATATTTGCTGTCGATGAATCGCATTGGAACTACCCAATAAAGCCCAAATTGGACTTCCGTGACTTAGTCAAGTATAATTAAAGTTTTAAGGTTTGACCTTATCCTACCTACTGGAAAGTTTGATGTAGCCATTTGTTATGCTTTGAAAAAACATGTGACAAGCATTCGAATATTTACATATGTCTTGTCTGAACTCACCATTTCCTGATAAAGGACTGGTAGGCTTTATTTATTTAGGCCTGCATAATCAGAGGACAGTGCGGTTGTTCTTTGAGGTGAAGGATCTGTTAGTTCGGGAAATGAAGCATTGGGCAATAGCTCAATGGAGGAACGAAGTAAGTTGCAGGCTGGTGCAGGTGTCTGATGTCAAATTTTTTTTATACATATTTCTAACATCTGCGACAATGCCTGTTGTATCGTTGCAGTTTAACAAGAAGTTCTTTGACTTTTTGGAAAACTGAAAATGAAGCCTCAAGTAATCCGATAGGGGAGCGTCATATCGTGGATGGCTGGCTTATCCACATGGAAAGCTTGAGAGATGGGAAGTTTGTAACTTTCAGTATTGGTAGGTAACCATGTAGACATCACCACAGACCTGTCACTCGTTTATAAACGTTGAACACAATAACGTGCTCAAAGCATTGACAATGTCCTGCTTCGTAAATGAGTTGGAGATAAAAAGCTTAGTACGAACCAAGAAAGTAGTTCTACTTAATAGCTATTGGAATTGCATTGATCTTGTCCGGCAGGATAATAATGATTTTGTCACTTTTTCATCCTTTCAGCTTCGTGATGTTTATAGAGAGGACGTTGTAACTCTCTGGGCGCAAGGCCCAGAATATTTGAAAATTGCTGAATACGCCGCCTCTCTGCGCAGAAAATGGTTCAGGTGCTATCTTCTTACGTCTTAGTGAAGGTCAAGATGGAGAACGTGGTCAGAGTTGGGTTAATGCTTTCAAGGTATCTCATACTACCGAGCTTTAGTGACTTTTTCGTTTAATATCTTGAGCTCGATCCGAAGCACGGCGGATACAAGCGCCGAGTCATCAATTTGATGCTTGTGGGCACATGCTGATAAGAAAATATTTTGAAGCCAAAGAACCTGTTTGGAGTAACCACAACCACAATTATCTACAGAACTGGAAGATGCAGAATTTGTGTATGCGATGCAATTGGGTATCTGCAGGTGCCAAAGGATTTTTTTCTCATAGCACACAACTCGTTTTGTTCATCCTAGTTCTTCTGTGGACCCTCTGCGCCATAGCCCCTAGTACAGTTCCCCCGTTCTGATATTCCAGATGCACTTAGAGTTTGTCTCCACGAGACCTCTATGTTTTATGTTTAGGTATTGCTCCTTTCTGTTCGTTCCCAGATATGTGTGTTCACATATCTCAGGACGTATTTAACTACAAAGTAGAAGCAACTACTGTTGAATTTATTTTTGATCTTAGAAATTGCACTATCTTAGACAATAAATGTGTCAGGATAATAAAGGTTTTTTGAGAGTTGCAGGTCTTTGCTGAATCATTAAAGAAATTTTTTGAGGCATTCCACATCTTTGATTATTCAGGGAGGATGAGTACGGTTGGGCCGAGATTGTGGTTGTTATCCAGAGAAGAAGGAGGTGCGTTGAATTGACATCTTTTGCTGCCTTGTCACAGTCAATAGGTTGCAGAGTGGTCACCTATGTGGATGAGGAGCATGATTCTGTGAGTAACAACCAGTCAAAAGCGGAGGGAGAGGTGACATCTAGTATCAAAGAAGTTGCTGTAGAGAACAATGATAGTGTCAATTCAACGTCTGAGTTACATCAGAGAAAACCCAAACTTTCAAGTGGAGCTTCCGCTGGAAACACGGTCCTACTTCAAGAAGGCATAAGCAAGACCGCCGATGACAAGAAACACAAGGACGGATCACAAACTGATGCGAGTGTCCAGTACACACTAAGGCCGTCGTCTCCGGCACATAAAAAGCTGAGAGACAGCCCGCTTAGTTCAGATGAAATTTTTACCCAGGTATGATGTTCGTTTGCCAACAACAGAAAAACATGAAGTTGAATTATTAGCGATCTTAGTTCTTGAGTATTTCACTTTTCTGTAATCAGGCTGACCTTGACATTCGCTGCTTTATATGTATTTCTCGCAAAAGTGTACACTGTTTCCTCACTTGACATATAAATTAGCCTCTAATTTCCAAGTAACTATATTGGAGTTCAAGGTTTAGTTTCTATACCAGTTTATCTAAAATGTGTAAACGAAACATGTTCCAGAGTCACGCAGGACTGTTCAATTTGTGTATTGTCTGCCTTGTCGCCGTCAACGGTCGACTTATCATTGAGAACTTGATGAAGGTAATTTTGCTGAATGTTAACACTTATCAACCCTTCGATTTTTCGCAGCAAATTTTCTGAGTTATCTATTTAAATAATGGATGTTTTCGTCCTAAAGCTCAACTCAGCATTGATCAGAACACTGGACTCGAGTTCAAGATTTATAGCCATTATAAAGGAATGTTGTCTTTTCTCCCTTGGTCATAGCATTGGTAGGTTACCAGTGACGGTCAAAGAAGTGGAATGATTCGTTTGTTTGAGATGCGAGCCAAACTTGGTCACTATCATGGAGCACATGAGGCCATTGACCTTATATATTGACCTTATCATAGTCTTATGTGGCTGTTGGCGTGTCCTGATTTCAGAATTACTTCAACTTTTTTACAGTTCATATACTTTCGCTTATTCTCTTGTATGGGTTGATTGGTACAGTATGGTCTGCTGATACAAACAGGGTTCTGGTTTAGTTCAAAATCATTGAAAGACTGGCCACTTCTTATGTGCGGGTAAGTCACAGTCTTCTTTTTCTTGTCTTCTTAACTGTCGACGTTTCGATCGAAGCAAACTATTTCTTCTTTTTCTGGCGTCCCAGTTCCTCTCAGTTCCTTTCAAACTAAGGAATAAATGGGACACTTCAAGCTGTCCAAGAATGTGTCACATCCCTCTTCTTCTTACAGTTGCATAGCAACTCCTTTTCAGTATCTGTCGAATTGTGGATATTTAAATTCATGTTTTAAGCAATTCATATCTGAATGGTACTTGCAGCTTGTCCTTGCCATTACTTCCATTATGCGCTCTTATGGTGGAAAGGTTGTCGGTTCGCTATTCCGTATCTGAAAGGGTAAGATTGCACGGTATTTACCTTGTGTAGACATGAGTGCCCATATTATATTTGTCTTCAAGAAAATAAATCTATTAGTACAGGGCTGGACATGGTTCTGTGAGTTGTCTTCTGAAATGTAGGTTATTTGTATTTATAGTATGAATTGTTGACTGTAGTTCTCCGAGGGAAGTTCCCCTGTTGGAAGGCCCAAGCGGGGAACTTCCCATTTAGTTCTCAAGCTTGTTCTTTGAAAACAAGCTTGAGAACTAAATGGGAAGTTCCCAAGCTTCTTTTCAAAGAACGTTATTAGATGCTTCTGTATTGAACTTTTTACAACTCTTTTCATTGCAGGTTATGTTTGTTCTTCATACGATTATCATAAGTGTATCAATTCTTTATCCCAGCTACATCATTCAGAGGTACTTGCCCACTACCAGAATTGTCAAAAGCCTAATATTTCTGTCATATATAGTTCAGAATAGTGTGCTCAGTAGAAATTTCCATAAATGAACTGGGCAAGCTACTAGCTTCAGTCGAGATGATCTAAAAGTTCTCTGGTAATTGGTTCCTGTTGACATTTATCTCAGTGTTGTGAAAAGCTCTTTAAGTCAAACGGGTGTACCAAATGCTACTTTTGAACTTGGAAGAGCTCCTTGTTGTTTGCGGAAATTGTTTATTTTACTAATGTGAGCGTGTTGCGTAAACACCGATATGTCAATCTGTATAGATATGACATGTCGTCATTGCTATCAGGGTTTATCTTAATCATGTTTTCCATCGTAGCCTGGATGAAACTGATTTCGTATGCCCATACGAATGCTGACGCTCGAGCTCTATCAAAGAAAGGCGAGAAGGTGCTTTCAAAATCTCAGTGTATCAATCCTTGACAAAGCATTCACCAAGAAACTATGCTTGTCCTTATACATGCTTCTGAGTGTGATTAATATTCTTTCACCCGTTTCACCTGATTATAGTTTTGTACAGTGCCTAAGCTGCTTTGTTGATGATTTTGTTGAGCAGCAGTCTTGTTTAGTTTGACAAGACTCACGGTTTTTGTTGAGACAGGTGGAAAAGCCTAACGACTCCATCAGTGTGGAATATCCCGACAACATCACAGTCTCAGACATAACATACTTTATGGTTGCACCAACATTATGTTATCAGGTATTTCTTGAGATACGTCTGGAAGTATGTTATAAGTCATATCAGTGCTTACATGTCGTTCCCGCCCATCCATGGGACGCTCTCTGTGAAGAAAGATCTCGGCAAAGAGTAGTAAGTTTAGTGCTAGACCGGAAAAATTACCGTGAATTCGTTTGTTCGAGAGTCTGTGAGATTACTTTTCAGTTTTGGTTCTGGTTTTATGTAGCATTGTTGTTCAACCTGTTGATAGAAGAACCAGAGCTTGAAATACTTAAAGTCCAGAATCTTATTATGTGGTCAGTTGCGGTCTTATCAGTTTCAGCGCCGCCCATAGTTTATTAGGGCATGTGTTTACAAGAAGTCTCTCAATGAAGTGACTGTTCTCTCTAATCACATGATCGTTCTCTCCGTCTCCTTCCAGATTGGCTATCCGCGCAGGGACATAATAAGAAAAGGCTGGGTTCTTCGTCAATCTGTGAAGTTACTTGTGTTCACAGGTTTGATGGGTTTCATCGTCGAACAGGTAAATATGGTTATAAGGCTTTTATGTCGCTTGTTATTTAAAAGTCCGCCTAGAAGGAACAATCCAGTGATGGTTTTACTAGTCTCCTGCATGCGACAGTTGTTCTACTTCATCTACCTATAGGTTTTATGGCTTAAATATGGCTTTCAGCACACTTAAAGTAGGTTTTACAGGCCTCCTCTTTATCCTCGTTATTAGTGTCGTGAAGTTAAAGCTGCTCGCAGTGCCTGATGTTTGTCGTGTGGCTCGGTGCTCTAGCTTAGCAGCTCAAGAATTTGCTTAGGGAAGACATATGTCAAATACTTTATGTACATGACGATCGTGACTCGTTTGTTTTCCAGTACATCAACCCTACAATTAAGAATTCTGAACATCCTCTTAAGGGAAGCTACTTGAAGGCTCTGGAAAGAATCTTGAAACTCTCAATACCGACATTATACGTCTGGCTCTGCCTGTTTTACTGTTTCTTTCACCTGTGGTAAGGACTCATTACACTCGTCTTGCAGTAATACCCAAGAATACTTGTGGTTGCGACAATCGTGAATCACGCAAGTTTGTTCCTCTAGAAGTTTCTCCTGACTATTTTTGTTACCCTGTTATGACGGGTAAGATCCTACCGTAATTTTACTTGTATCTAAACTTAAGCTTCCCTCAAGGGTGCTAAAAGGAAACTGGATTGGCATTTCAGGTTGAATATTCTTGCTGAATTAACGCGTTTTGGGGATCGTGAGTTCTACAAAGATTGGTGGAATGCCAAAACGGTTGAAGAGGTTGACTTATAATGCACTTGATTGTCCTTCGATTTGGCATCCAGCTCATTAAGCTTAATAAATTTTCTTCCCAGGACCTGTATGGTTGTGTTTTGTTGCGAGGAGGGAGTAGTTTGTAATTTGAATTTGCATTTGTGGCGTTTCTTTGACTTCCTTTGGCTCACTCAGTAACTAGTAGATATTTTTAGATCGAGGTGCACAGCACAGTCTTGAACTTGTGATAAAAGCTTCATAAATGAGTTACTTTTCCGAAACTGACGTTTTTCGTGGTTAATTGTGTGATTTTCGCATCTTCTTGGAATCTTTAGTACTGGCGTATGTGGAATATGGTAAGTTTGACCAACGTTCAACTCAATCAAATTTTACATGTAGTGCGAGGAAGTCCGCAGAGTCTATCTAGATGTGTTAAGATCACAACACCCAGGTTATAATGTTTCTTCAGTATGGTGCTAAATGTACAGTGTGTGCAGTGAGTAGCGTTCCTGAGTTCCAGTATATCATTAGCTCAGCATTTTAATAGCTAATTCTACCAAAATTTAGTGGAGAATCATTAAACGTTCTAACAGTGAATGGTATGCTATTGCGGTATTTTTATGATTTTGTGCAGCCTGTTCATAAGTGGATGGTTCGCCATATATACTTTCCTTGTCTAAGAGCAGGATTGCCCAAGGTAATAATCAGATTACGTCGCGATTGCTTACTGTTGAATATTTCAAACAGTAGAATGCAGAATTAGTTACTTTCAAGCGGGAGTACTCTCAACATTGAGTGGTAGGATTTTCAAGCTCATTTCTTTGTGGTCATTGCTTTGTCTTCTTGCAGCATTGTGCTTTCTTCCTCGTGTTTGCTTTATCCGGAGTCTTCCATGAGGTACGTTCTCACCTCTTCAGGGCCTGAAGAGTTCTACTGTTTTAGGTGCCTTCAAAAAATAAGTGTCCAGCTTATATTCTCTCTGCTTGAATTCCATTCTCGCACCAGTAGGGCACGCTCAGTTCCAGCCCGTTGTGAAGGAATAAATCTCTCGTGGTTTGCATTTACCAATCCTCAATTTAGCTGTACAAACGTTCTGACTGTCAACGGAAACAAAACACAAAGCATCAATTTGTTTACAGTTTCATGACAAAGATATTGCTAAACAAGAAAATGATAACGTCTCGTGCAAGACGAATAGGACGTAGAAGGAGAATTACTACCACATTCTTATGCAATCATGAACCATCGAGTAAAAGCCCTGGTCATAATTGGTGTTGAGGATTGCCTGTATTCTGCCAGGTCTGTGTGGGGATACCTTGTCATATGGTGAGGTGCTGGGCGTTTCTCGGAATCATGTTCCAGGTACGTCCATCGTTCGAGCTACAGTTAATTGGCTCTAGTGAACCGGTTCCTATGTACGAAAGGATGTGCCTTGTAAAAGGTTTTCATGGACAAGGGAACGAGCTGGATGTTTTCGACCTTTTTATAAATGTTATCTTTAACGTGTTGAAAAGAATAACCTACTGAACCATTAGCTTCGGATATGGTTTTGCTGGCATTGCAGGTACCACTTGTATTCTTGACAAATTATCTACAAAGTCGGTTCAAGAACTTGATGGTATGCTACTTATCTTCCAGTAAGACAAAAGAATTAGCGTTGAAAGTGAAAACATGAAGTCTTATTGTACAAGTAAAAAAGAGGATGAGAAGGTAGAGCTATGTTTAGAAATATCTCAGTATCTATGGCTCACTTGGTTTATATGTGGAAATAGACCTTAACTTCTACTCTTAGAATTTTGAATTAACTTCATACACTACTGCGTTGTTGAGGTTCAGAAACTACTTATATCTAAGTGATAAGAAAGCCTTGGCATCCTTTTGCTTCCAGTTAACGCATACCTATCAGTTTGTAACAGATTGATTTAGTCAAAACCTTCCTGCTCGAAACTGTGCGTAGCTGTATAACAAGCTTTTGCCTTCTTATGATAATAGTCTCTGGCATAGGGGTCACTTACCGTTGTCGATGTATCATGTCCTCCAGGTTGGAAATATGGTGTTCTGGTTTTTCTTTTGCATCGTTGGGCAGCCTATGTGTGTCCTTCTCTACTACCATGATGTCGTCAATCAGCAACAGCCTACTTCTACCATACGTTTTCCACATACTGAACTATGAAGATTCTAGCTGTCTGGTGAGCTGCTCACTAAGAACCAGTTGTTTTGCTCTAGAAGCAAACTTTGTACAGAAGAACAAGATCCTAGTTGTACTCATTAGAGGCCAATTTAGCAGGCAATCGGCACAGTCAAACTGTTCATATTTCAGAGTAAACAATGATAGGGTAGGTTCAACGAATCAATTGCTCTCTCGCCTTGTACATTTAAAACTCTCCATAAAAGCTTTCGCTTTATATTTGGCCTGATGATTAAGCCCAATGCTTGCTTAACAGGGTCTTAACTCTTGACCAGTATGCTTACGTACACGTCAGCTCGTGTATATTGAAAGAACTGAGCTTGGACTTGTATTCTGTATATGGAGCTTTGTCACATCTGCTCCTTTAGGGATCCAATGCCTTGGGATCACTATGACAATCTGTTCACGCTGTTGAGAACGTGGTCTAAGGGTCTAACGCGTTCTAGAACTAGTACAAGATCTAATCATCTCCATGCATTTTTACGTCAACGTAAACCAGATAGCGGAACCAGTTTCGTAATCTCAGTAGATACTATTGTTTGCTTGCACGGAGAATTATGCTCACAAAGATCAACAATTAGGACCTAATCAAAAGGTTCTTACGACCGGATGGTTGGAACTCCATTTCTTTTGTCGACTGTTCAGCAGACCCCGACATTGGGTGCCCATACCCATGCTCAAACCCACCCATGCCGATGGGTTTTGGGTGAAATTATTTTTCCATGGGAGGGCACAAGAAATGCTAAGGGCAGAGTGTGTCAAGATCCAACCAAGAATTGGTGTAACCGGTTTATACACATAACACAATTGGCCTAAATTGAATAGCATGGGTGGGCATGGGTGGGCTTAGGTCGCTGCTGGGGTATGGTCTGGTCTGGGTGCAGATTTGAAGTAACATGTTGGCCTCTGCTGTTCAGTCTTTGATACGTCATCATGGCATTGTGAAAATTGTCTTGGTTGTGTTCAGCTGTCATAGAGATCGTAAATGATCTCTTAGCACATAGCTTCAGCTAGCTTGGCAAATTCTATCCAACCAGGAGTACAAAGCGACTGCGGCTTTTGTATCAGACTTATATGAGCTTCCTGCGCACTGTACACGTTGCTTAACGTAATTATCAACAAATGATGAAAACAGGAAATCAGTGTTTGGTAGACTTTAGAGTTTTGCTCGACTTGAAAGGTACGGACAAGTAACAAGAAATGTTTATTGTCCCATCAAAGTAAAGAAACAAGATATAGTAGAAAGTTTCATTACCATCACACTTAGTACTCTTTCTGAAGTGTAATAGGCCATTGATACAAATGTATTATTGATAGTTTTGTAGAAAACAAAATTTGTAGAAATATGTTATAATATTATGGTCTTCGAGAATATCATGATGGTACCGTGGCAAAATATTGAAATCAATTTGTCTCTACTAGTTTAGACTCCAAGTACACTAGTAGACTTTCTGGCTCTAGTTGTAGATCATTTTTCTCAAATTCCTAATGAAATCCTCTCAGGCCTAATGAAATTAGGTCTGGAGAGGATTACATGGCCATGGCCGATGGCCTAAATGAAAATTACATGATAACATGTGATTTATCAAACCTATTTGAATTTTTAGAAGAGTTTTTGTCACTATTTTGATAAGAATTTTTTTATCGAAAAGCATATAATTAAATTATTAGACTAATACGTAATCAAATATTTAACTTGAAACTAATTTTTGATAATATAAAAATTAATTATTTTCATTTCTAAATGGTAGAAAACATCATAGTTCTTAATCAAGAATACATTAGATAGCTGAACTTAATCAGAATTAAACTAATCACAATGCATTTCTTGATTATTTTCATTATAAAAAATAAATTTAGATTTTACAAAAATAAATTTCAATGCAAAAACAACCCAAATAAATCTTATTCAAAAAAATTTAAATTAAATATAATTTTAAATATTAATAGTTGATTCAAACTTTCACAAATTGTTCACGCAGCCTAAGTAGACACAAATACAATCAAAAGATAAGATATATGTGATTGTACTTCTTAGAGGTACATTCACAAGATTACAACAGGTTTTACCGAGAATTACTATATGCTTCATTGGAAACTACTGAAATATTTGTTAGTTTAACTTATCAACATTAAGCTTATTGTATTAAATCAGTATATGTATTAAATTCTAACAATTTCTCCTTTGATATATGTTATGAATTTGTTTTATTTCATAATTTATATAATTTCTCTATTAATAGATGCAATAAGTAAACTTGACATAAATATATTTTTGAACCACATTTAACTAGAAGAAAGTCATAGTTAAAAGTCATAGTCATCATCTGACTCATAGCTAGATTTGAAACTCTTTGACTATCATAATGAAGATTCAATATATCATGTATTTACAATGCTCACAGCTGGGCTAACGGATAGCCGTCGACTTACTTACTCACAAATTTTTTTCCTGTTAATTTCATTCAACAAGAATTTTTATGATTGCAACTTCATGGTAATATCAATGAAGTTGTCGGACAAACAAGAGTGTTTTGCGATGGTGATAACATCGCTATCAAAAAAGCAGACTTTGACGGCATCAAAGTTTTCATGCACATTGACGTGTCGCGTGAAATGAGTGTCAAACGCAAAAGAAAGTTTGTGGCAAATTCTTATTCATCACACAATTCCATGCTAGCGTGATTTGCCATCCATCTTGATGAAGTGCAAAAAGTAGATGATCTCTTTTTAAACATGATCTCATCCAGTGTTTGGTTCAAATATCAAAGCTCGTGCTCTGCGAGCAGCAATAAGCATGCTTCAAATGATTTTCTTAAACATGAAAGAGGTAGCATGTTCATGTGTGTTTTTGATACCAAAATGCTTGCAAATAATTTTCCGATATTAAATTATTAGAGAGTACATTTCTTCATCGTTCTTTGAAACAACAAGATCAAGTACTAATGTCACCATTGATAGCAAGCTAGTCAAGTGTTTTTAATGTTTTTTTGACATTGATACTTTGAAACGTAATGACAAAATAATTCACAACGTTATGGTGTACCATTTGTTGCAAATAATCACAACTCTTCTAGAAATTCATTCAAAATTTTGAAAAAATGTTGGATCGCGACAATCATCTTGTCAAATATGGCAAGACTAAAGGTTGAACGTGAACAATCTTGCCAAAAACAATTTAAAGCGTTCGTCATTTGCCTGAACGAAGCTGATTTCACTGACAAAAAACTCTGTTTTGTGTCAAATCCAATGTACCAGGCTCGTCACGATCTTATACTTTGCCTCATCATAATAAACGTTGTGCATTTTCAAATATATATCAAATTTTGAAAAGATTATTTTGGTTCAGATCATGTATCAATATAATTTCAAGTGATTTGCGAGTGAAGCGACGAAAGTTTGATGTTGCCGAGGTAATTGAGTAGATCTTGTAACAAAACTTGCTTGCAATGCAAGCGAGTAAGTCGGAGTCTAGCACAGCTGCAAAGTATGGACAAATCCAAGATGTTTGCTTTTGTTTTTTTTCCAATGGACTATATTGTCACTGAAAATGATAGTGGAGGTAAAACAACAACGACATAATTATTGGAATCTTCATCCCACATCGATATCATCACAAACACAAACTCATCTTTCATAGCCACAAATTCTCACTATTAGCTTTTTGCAAATCCGCATTTGTTGTCACAAACCTGCCATTATAGCTCATTAATCAATGACTAGCCGGGTAAATTTATAGTCCTAGCCGGCTAGCAAAAAATTAGCCGGCTACGTGATCATGCCAACATAGATTAGTCTTATTTCAGTGTCAAATATATTCAACTACATTATTAATTTTGCCATTTTTGCTCCTCTTACACAACGTAGTATTTAGATTAAATTTTACTACATAAATTGTGCATTCATACTTAACTTTGAATAAATGTCAATTCGTTTAAAAATCTTACATCTATATTTTGTAGAACTTGAAACTAGACTTAATTCAATTACACTATAAGATTACTTGCTGGGTTGAACATGACAAAGTGCAAGCATGTGATTATTACTTTAGGAACTCATTGCAGATTTTAAATGATTAAATTATTCTTTCTTTTTCAACACATAAGTGAAAAAAGGTTTGATGTCCAAATTGTTTTACAACAAGCAAGCATGAAGTCTCTTGTTTTTTATAATTTTCTATAGGCTAGATAGTGTTTTTTAATATGAGCAAGAGTAACAAATACAAGTCAAATTCAATATATATATATATATATAAAGCTAAGAAATGTACGCATAAATATTTCAAATATATGCTTAATTCTGATATTGTGTTTGAAGCATAAGCTTACAATGCCAAATTATCATTGATTGGCTATGTAGATGTTTACTATACAACAAATACATATCAAATCCAGAATATATAAATATATATATATATATATATATATATATATATATACATTCATACATTCATTCAGACATGTATTTGTTACTCTTGCTCATACTAGAAAACACTATCTAGCCTAGAGCAAATTATAAAAAACAAGAGACTTCATGCTTGCTAGTTGTAAAACAATTTGGACATCAAATCTTTTTTCACTTATGTGTTGAATTAAAAAGAATAATTAAATCAATTCATTTAAAATCTACAATGAGTTCCTAAATTAATTTTCACATGCTTGCACTTTGCCATGTTCAACGCAGCAAGTAACCTTATAGTGTAATTGAATTCAGCCTAACTTCAAGTTTTAAAATTGATAAACAAAATGATTGATACTAATTTTAAGACACATATAACTATATATGTAAACTATATTGTGTAGACGTAATTATTTCAAATGAAATATGTGTGTATCAATTCACAAATTATGAATTGTGTTTATTTTTAATAAAATAGTGTTCATCAAATTATCAAATTTTGTTGTGAGTTTTATGAAATCATAGTAAAACAAAATAATTATAAATATGTATAATTTTGTTAACAAAAAATATTTTTTCCAAAATTATTGAAAAAAAAAATATTTGAAAAAATCCAAATATCATGTGTTTTCATATGTGTGTGATCATGATAGATGTTAATGATTTTTAATTGAATGTTTTTATGATCATAGATTTCAAAATGATATACAATGAGTAAAATAATAATAATAATTTTTTAATAATTGAAAAAAAAATCATAATCTAGATTAAGATTTACATGTTATTAAATTTTATGATACTCATAAATAAATTAAGCAAGTTTTTTCAAAACTTGGAAACCAATTTATGGTTGAAATATAGTTTTTAGTAAGATATAAACTTGATTATTTGTGAATTTGTATCTCATACTTCATTTGAAAATCTTTGCATCCATTATTATCACAATATGTTAAAAAATCCATCAATTGATATTTTCAAAATAAAGTATTAAATCATC